ACCTGGAGCTGACGGAGCTGGTGAGGGGGACGCGGCTGGGGACGGGTGGGGAGCGAGGGGACGGGTGTTCCCGGGAAATCCGGAGCACGTCCTGCTGCCGACCCGTGGGCGAAGAGGGAATGGTGCCCGCTGGATCCCGGGGGCTGGAAGAGCCTCTAGGGAGGGACAGCGATGGGAAAGGGGGGGGTCACAGCAAACTGCCCCCGGGCTGAGCAGCGTCCCCAGCATGAGCTGTCCAAGCGCTGGGCACGGGATAAAGCAACGCACACAACAAAAACCCCTGGAAAAGAAGCAGAAAATACAGATGGGGCTGCAAGTGTGACAGACTGCAGGTTTCCCAGGCCCTTGGAGACTAATTCACTGGAGAAAAAGGAATGGGTCTGCCAAAAACGCTTCCCGGGAGCGTTGCCCTGCTCTATGTCACAGCACGAAATCCAGATGACTTTAATGGCCCCGAGCAGTTGGCTGTGGCCGTGGGAGGCAGGATGCTCCTCGCCGCGCTCCCTGTTGCATCGCGAGCTTGGCGAGCGCCGGAACATCCCGGTTTAACCGGGAGGATTTAGCAAGGTCTTGTCACTTCAATTAAGAGTTTGGGGCATCAGCGTGCGGAGGAGAGACGATTCTGTTGCTTAAGCGAAGCGGGACGTAACCTCCGTGGCTGCTGGTGCCTGTGCCCACGTGAGCTGGGGCAGCCTCCTGCGCTGCTCCTGGACCAGGCGACCGAGCTGGGAGCACCCTGGGGCTCCTGCCGTCACCTGCCCCATGTCCCCAGCCAGGCCCTGCAGCCTGTTCCTTGCATGCACCGAGCTCCCGACCTCAACTGCTTCCCAACCCCTGTCCAAACACCTCTTCCAGCGTCTCCTCCGGCTGCACTGGGATGGGACAGTCCGGGCTGGGACATTCCCCAGGCCCTGGCCAAGCCTCGGGTTTGACATCGTGGGGACTGCAGTGTGTTCCGAGAAAGGCCGATTTGTCACGTTTGAGCCCTCAGCCCCAGAGCAGGGTAATTTGCAGCTGCTGCCTGATGCAACTGCTGTTTTGTGCACAGGAGAGGCAGTATTTTTCCTTCCCGGGAGAGCTCCTCATGAGGATGCTGAAGATGCTGATCCTGCCCCTCATCACCTCAAGGTAAGATGTGCTCTTCTGCTTCCCAAGGGCCCACCACTGTGGTCCCACCCATCACCACCACTGTCCCATCGCCACCATGATTCCATTACCACCATGGTCCCATCACCACCATGGTCCCATCACCACCACAGGAGTCCCATCACCATGGTCCCATCACCACCGCGGTCCCATCACCACCATGGTCCCATCACCACCATGGTCCCGTTACCACCACAGGAGTCCCACCACCACGGTCCCATCACCACCATGGTCCCATCACCACCATAGGAGTCCCACTACCACAGTCCCATCACCACCACGGTCCCATCACCTCCATAGGAGTCCCACGACCATGGTCCCACCACCATCACAGTGGTCCCACCACCTCTATGGCCCCACACTGCGGCCACCCAACGCTCCCGTTTGCTGTGAGCGCTGGCCCCGCCAGCACGCAGCCATCCTGCTGTCACTACGGGCTCATGGCCTGTAATTCCCTCTCTATTTTTAGCCCAGTTTTGTTTAAAAGTAGCTTACGGGCTGGTTCTTAGGGGAGCTTACAAGAACACGAAGTCCAAACCAGCGGCTCACTCTCACCATGGGGAAGTTGGGGCAATAGAGAAGCATGGTTGGAGCTTTGGCGCGTCAGAGGTTTAAACAGACAATGTCACCCAGAACCAGAGTATTAGTTATTGGCTATCAAAGTATGATAAGAGTATTTACTTGTTATCCCTCGGAAAAGAAGGAAAATGACCGGACCTTGTGTGAAGGGACACGCAGACATCCCCATGCATCCCTGCCTGTCCAGGAGTGCAGGGGCAGCCAGGCAGGTCCCACACGGAGCTGCCCCCCAGGCACACAAACGCTCCAGAGCTTGGGAACACCTGTGAGCATCAGCAAAAGGAGCTTGGAAACTGGTTGCGCATTGGAGATCTGGTCCATCAGGTGCACCCCGGGAGCAGATGCCAACCACGATGTTTTCCTTTCCAGCCTCATGTCCGGGCTGGCCACCATGGACTCCAAGGCTTGTGGGAAGATGGGAGTGATCACAATCACCTACTACCTCTGGACGACCTTCATGGCTGTGACCGTCGGGATCATCCTCGTGGTCAGCATCCACCCTGGCGCCGCGGCCCAGAAGGAGGAATATTCCGTGGGGAAAGTGGTGCTGAGCTCTGCCGATGCTCTCCTGGATCTAATCAGGTACCTTGCAGAACTCAGGGAGGAGCCTGGATGCTAAAGGCTGGTTGAGTTTCACAGCCAAGATCTGCTCACGAGGCAGCCAGTTCCCCGGGGCTATTGATATCTCCAGGGAAATGTGGGAAATGTTGGCTGCACGGAGTGAGGAGCTTCCCTGAATCCCGAGGGTTCCTTGAGCTTTGTGAGGTGAAAATGAGTGGAGTTGGCCTGGAATAAAGCACTAGAAATGAATTGATGTTAACTGGTAACCATGGGGCAGCCCTGGGGTAGGGGGGATCTCCGTTTCTGGACATGTTTGGACTCCAGACAAGGCTTTGAGCAACCTGCACTAGCTCTGCAGCTGGCTGGAGATGCCAGACGTCCTTCCCAGCCTCTGCCTTTTGGGGAATTCAATGCACATATTGACAATAACATTGCCTTGCATGGCCCTGCCTTGCACCGAGGACATCGAGCGGCACCGCCAGGGTCCTCCTGGCCCCTCAGCCAGCCCAGGAGCTTCCCAGGTGCTTTAACTCTGCACAATTACTCTCTTACAGGAACATGTTTCCTTCTAACCTCATCGAAGCTTCATTTCAGCAGGTGAGTCATGAGCTCCAGGGCTCCGTGAGCTCAGGAGATGCTGGGATGGGTCTTGGCTCTGGACCAGGCTGTGCCCCACACACGAGCCCCTTTCCGTCCCCATTCCCATTCCAGCCCTGCTGTCCGGCTGCTCCCAGGGACACCAAGGACAGGCAGGTGGAGGGTTGTTGGCCATGTAGCATCACAGGGGGACACCGAGGCACAGG